AAAAAAAAAAAAAAGAGGTTAGAGTGGGAGAGAGCCAAAGCATAAGAGACTGTTGAGAACTGAGAGCAAACTGAGGGTTGATGGGGGGTGGGAGGGAGGAGAGGGTGGGTGATGGGTATTGAGGAGGGCACCATTTGGGATGAGCACTGGGTGTTGTATGGAAACCAATTTGACAATAAATTTCATATATAAATTAAAAAAAAAAGAAAACCATTATAAACAATAAACAGAAACTAAATAAATAAATAAATAAATAAGCAGATATAATATATTTAAGTGATGAGATGCAGAACGAAAATAACGATGTTTAACATATTTAAGAAATAAAAGGGAAACTTGAAAAATGAAAGAGTAGGGAGCAATCAGATTTAAGAACAGATTTAATCAAGAACCAAATAAAATTTCAGAAAGCAAAATACATACAAGAATGGAAAAATTAAAACTCAGCAGATGAGGGGTGCCTGGGCGGCTCAGTCGGTTAAGCGTCCAACTCCGGCTCAGGTCATGATCTCACAGTTCATGGGTTTGAGCCCTGCGTCAGGCTCTATGCTGACAGCTCAAAGACTGGAGCCTGCTTCAGATTCTGTGTCTCCCTCTCCCTCTGCCCTCCCCCTGCTCGCTTGCTCTCTCTCTCTCTCAAAAACAAATAAACATTAAAAAACAAAAAAAACAAAACAAAACAAAAAAAACAAAAACACCTCAGCAGATGAGACTTCATGGAAGAGGGAATTAGTGAATGGAGAAGAAAGTATCCAGAGAAGTGTTACAGAGTCAAAGAGATGGAAAACATAAAATAAAGGTTAAAAGGAATAAATAGTAAAGTAGTAATAGAAACAGAACAATAGAGTAACTAATTGGAATTCCAGAACAAGATAATAGAAGGGAGAAGAGCCAATAATCTGTATGGGGAACAAAAATTAAACACAGCCCCTACCTCACACATATACATATATGAATTCAAAGATCACCCATCAACCTAAACATTGAAGCTACAACTATTACCCTCTAAAAGTAAACATAGGAGACTATGTTTGTGATCTTGGAGAAGATAATCATTTCTTAGCAAGAAGGCAAAAAGCATTCATCTTAAAGGAATATCATTGGGAATGCTGACTTTATCAAAGTTAAAATTTTCTGCTGGTCAAGAAACATGAAGGGAATGAAAAGGCAAGCTACGGACTGGAAGAATATATTAACGGCACATATATCTGACAAATGGTTAGCACTGAGAATATCAAGTTATAAAGTACTCTTACAAATTAAAAATAAAAGAAAAACAACTCAATAAAAAATGAGCAAGACTTCAACAGACACTTCATTAAAAAAGATATATGAGGGGCGCCTGGGTGGCGCAGTCGGTTAAGTGTCCGACTTCAGCCAGGTCACGATCTTGCGGTCTGTGAGTTCGAGCCCCGCGTCAGGCTCTGGGCTGATGGCTCAGAGCCTGGAGCCTGTTTCCGATTCTGTGTCTCCCTCTCTCTCTGCCCCTCCCCCGTTCATGCTCTGTCTCTCTCTGTCCCAAAAATAAATAAACGTTAAAAAAAAAAAAAAAGATATATGAATGGCCAGAAAGCACAGGAAAAGGTGCTCAACATCATTAATCAGATGAAAATTAAAACCACTAGAGGACCTAGCTTGACACTACTTGCATGTCTAAAATGATCAAGACAACACTATGTGGTAGCAGGAGGGAAAAAAAGACAACACTTTATTGGCAAGGATGTGAAGCAATTGGAAGTCACACACTTTGTTGGTGGGAGTGTAAAATGACACAACTACTTCGGAAAAATGGATGTCCCTGCTGTGTTATAAACTGTGCTTTTTACCTTCCTCTCTTGTATTACATGGGCCAAAGCTTTCCCCTTTGTGCTTAAGCTGGTTCAGATCAGGTTTGTCTTGAGAGCAGCCAGGGAATTCCATCCTACACTAAAAGATAAGATACGTGGATGGTACCACTGGGTATGTGTCGCTGTTATGCCAGGCAATGTGGAACTTGGACCGCTTAACCACAGGTCCATAGGCAAGGACTCGAACGTCCCGCTCAGATACGCATCCACAAAGCCAGAAAGTCTGAACTGTGAACTACATGTCATTTGTTCCTCTTTCCCTGGCTGTGCCCTTGTGTTTTCTGCCTACAGTGGCCTTCTGATGCAGACAATCTGGGTCAATAAACATGAATGGTTAAAGAAGAAGGGAGAGGAAAATGAGAAAAATCATGAAATAATAAATGGCAATGGTAAAATATTAATTTGAAAACCAACTTTGGGGACTTGCATAATGTACATGCAGTCCACACAACCATAAATTAAATATTAGCAAAAACAATTGTATAATTTTCATGATTATACAGACTGTGGCCTTCAAAAAATGCTAGTGGCAGTAGACACAGTACTACATTTAAGTAAGACATTAAGTAAGATACTTGCACATTCCAAGAATTAAGGCAGCTGGGCCTTACACAGACTAGTGGGTACACACAAGAACATTCTGAATTGGAGTTCACATTTTTATGATGTTAGACAAATGCAGTAATAAATCAAATGGAAAACATGGTATTAATTTACCTTCAAGTCCCATGTACATATAAATAACCTTAAACTATCTGTGTGACTGCAGGGTATACTTTCCTTCCAGAGCTCTGTATTTCTCAGGCTTTCAAGCACTGGAGAAACCAGTCAGGTGGGACATATATCTGGATCAACATTATTTCTGTTGGAGACATTCATTCTTCGGTTCTTTACCTTGTGGCTCTTGGCTTACTCTAATGCAGCCAAAATAACCACCTGCTACTTTGCTTCACCATATTTTCCACTTGACCTTTCTTAACATGTAGAACTTTGGACAAAGAATAACACATACCTGTGTCATAATGCACAATAAGTCTTTTGCTGTGATTGCCCACAGTCTGTGGCTCAAAGTCCACTTCCAGTTGCATGGACTCTCCCACATTAAGAGTTCCAACAGGTGGCTCTACGGAGAAAGGCCTGCAGCACACATGGAGACGCACCATCAGAACACATCCTGACACGTGTGAGAGGAGGAGAAGATACAGACAGGACTTGTAGCTCTGTAGACAGCTCAGACCCCCCGCCCCAACTGAATGAATCAGAAGTACAGTACACTTTACCCCCTAATGTGAAAGATTTGGGTTTTAAGGTTAAAATAGCAGTAACAGATCAACAAGTCTAAGAGAAATTTAAATGGTATCATAATATTCTTGTTTGTGTCCTTGGCTTTCAGCCATTCTTTTAGCATTCATTGAGTGATTCCAGCGGTCAGACTTAAAACATGTATGCAAATACTGTGAGCTGCAACAGAAAAGTACCTTCAAAGGGATAGAAATCAAGTTTTGTGACAGTTCAGTGAAGTTTTCATAATGGAAAAATATATCAGAGTCTCAAAAGATCACACAATCACAGGAAGATAATTTGAGGGCAGTTTAACAAGGGGTCTATTGAAAAGGGGCTTAGGGATATATAGGAACTACAAAAGATGATACATCCCCCAGGGCTATAAACAGTAAAGCCTTTATGACCTCTAGGCCCAAAGAGCCAAGGAGCAGCGGTGGTTTTGAAGCCCACAAGAGTCCTACTTGAGAATGCTGCCTTATGAGGAGCAAAGAGCTTCAGTCAAGACAGACAGCCCAGGTGGCCTCACAGAGAAGACACTAGGGGAGAAACTGTCCTGACCTCACATCCTCCTGTCTCATCACCTGTTGGGACCCCTACTGGCTGAACCGAACTAGAAGCCAAAGCCTTGGGAGTCTGCTGACCTAAGCCATACAGGTCAGCCCTCTGGGTGACAGCAAGCTGGAGAAGGGTGGAGAACATTTAGAAAGGCAAACTGGGGGGTGTCTGGGTGGCTCAGTCGGTTACGCGTCCGACTTCAGCTCAGGTCATGATGTCATGGTTCATGAGTTCGAGCCCCAGGTCAGGCTCTGTGCTGAAGCTCAGAGCCTGGAGCCTGCTTCAGATTCTGTGTCTCCCTCTCTCTCTTCCCACCCCCCTCCCCTGCCCACCCCCATTCATGTTCTGTCTCTCTGTGTCAAAAATAAATAAACATTAAAAAAAATTTTTTTTTTTTTTTTAAAAGGCAAACTGGGGACAAGTCCTGTGTGGAAAATAGAATTTGGGCATGTAGACATTATGGAGTGATAGGATAGATTTGGGAACAGGAAATAGTTTCATCTAATTTCCCTGGAAGTGTTAAGAGAGAAGCTGGATCTGACCATGAAGTACCTTAAATAACTTACAGCATTCTTCCTTTTCAATAAAAAACCCAGCCCATTTAATTATTTTCATGGTCCATTTCACTTCTCTAAATTGCTAGTTTTTCAAAGTAATGCGTTGTACAATGTATCTGGCAGGCTAAGCTGCTTCTGATTATTTACTTCCATCACAACCATTTTTTAGTTTCATCCCTTAAATCTTTCCTTAGATAATGAATTTAATGTCAGAAAACCTGAACTTTCTTTGGTGAGGAGATAGCTGTGGCAAGGGTAGCACTTGGTGGTACCTGTGATCATCATTGCAAGATGTTCAGTGCTTCCTACCACGGGCAACTGTTTATTTCCTCTGGGGCTCTCTACTTGGATCTCCCTCTACTTTCACTTCTTTATCTTCCCATGCCTTTGTGATTTTCCCACACCTACAGCACCAATCCTCCAGCGAACTCCGGACATTTCTGTCGAGGCTCTATGCAGTAGTGGTCCTTAGCATGAAGCCACGTAAGAAGTTCAAAATCCAGCTCTGCCATGACCTTACACAGCAAGTCACTGAACATTTTGTCTCTATGGGGGTGATGACAGCACCTACTTCATAGGGCTGTAGGGGGGACTAAAGGAGCTGGTACAGGTGAAGAGCTTAAAACAATGCCTGGCACATAGGAAGTGCTAAACAAGTGTTTATTATTATTTATGTTATCTCTCTCACTGGCAGCCTCTAGATGGGAGATGGCCTGAGGATGATCTTGGCTGTTTAGATGAGTTCAAGGTCTTATTATTCTCCTCTCAATACTTCACACTGCTCTAGGGATACTGCAAAAAAACATACACAGGTAGTAACACATTCATCTTTGTTCAAACACCTTCAGCGGTCCTCATAATCTATGTAATCAAGTTCAAAGTCCTAGGCATTTGAGGTCCCATGAAATCTGCTCCCAACTACATTTTGCATTCTTATTAAACACATACATCTGTCCAAATGTCCCAAACATCTGTCACATTCCAAGTCAGAATGGGGAGGGACAGGGTGAGAGGGCTCTGCTCTCTACACTTGAACCTCACCTAGCACTGCATCACCTCTTCCAACTAGACTGTGCCCTCTACACAGACCACTAAGGTCACACAAGAATACTTACCATTTTCCACAGGTCATACTTCTCCCAAAGCCACTTAAAATTGCTCAGACTCAAAGCCACCTCTTAGATAGACTCTTCCCTGATTCTCTCTCTTGTTAACAAAGCCTCTTTCCTCTCAGAGCTGTGACTTTCTTTTCACTTCTTACTTCAGTTCACCTTGTACTACAGTTAGTTTTCATGCCTGACCCTGTCAATAGCTACAGACTCTTGAGATGACAGGAAAGGGAAAGCAAATAAACTTCCATGAGCACGGACTCCATACTGGGCACTACACTGGGCACCTTACATATGCCAAACCTTGTAATCCTGGAAAAAACCTGCAGTAAGTAGGTACTATTATTGCATTTTAGACATGAGAAAATAGATGCTCCAAAAGGGCAGGCAACTGGCCCAAAGTTGCCCAACAGGTAGTGGTGGAGTTGCCTTCAAGTTCCAGTTCTTCCTGCCTACCCAAACCATCCCTGAACATAGAAACCACCTAGTTAGGCTTATCTTTGTGTCTCTCACCCCCCACACAGTTCTGTACTCACAGAAGTCTCTCAGAAGAGGTTGTAGATTGAATTTTAACCAACTTTCAGAGTGAAATAAAAATATCTGTAATCATTAAATAATCTTTATAACATCTTGGTGGAACAAAAAAGGAACAGACTTTCAGTATCTCAAGAATCCCTGCTTCCTGAGATGAAGGTAAGTCATCCAAAATAAATCTCACAGTCTTAAAAGTTTTTTCCTTCCTTATGGCATCAGTAAGAGTCTTAAGAATTGACAACTGGGCCCAGTTTCCTGACTTTGGGAACAATGTTGTGATATTTTCTTCTATCTTTGCTTCCCTAGTTTCTAATATTTTTCTTCCTACATGGTGCTTTCATTTTCTTTTCAAACATTTCTTGGTGGCAAAAGGCACAGTTTTGAAATCAATTGGATAGCATTATCTCAGTTGCAAAACCCAAGCTAATTTTCTATGGACAAGGAGACCCCTCTCTAGGACCTCCAGAAATCCAAATTCTATACAAAGTAACAGATACTTTCCTGTTGTGCCCACTGTGGGGTTTATATTATATTAAATTTCTTCAGCAGTTAAAAAATCACCTGGGATCACCAATGTTACTTAGCCTAAGCTTTCTCAATAAATCAGATGTTAATTGGGTAGAGTGTGTTAAGTTCTGGTGCTTAAATTGTCTATAATTCGATTTCGTACTTCATTTTTACCACAGACAGACAGGCTGAACTGGCCAGAAAATATCAAGTATCAGAAAATGCTCTTAACTAAGAGGTAAAAGGCATTGTCTCTCAAGGGCATAAGGCTGGCTCTGTCTATCAAAATGTTTGGTTTTGATGTAATATTCTCATTAATACTGAGTGCTTGATTAGGGACAGAACCCGAGTTCGTGAAAAATCAGGAGACATAACAAAGATTTTGAGTTTTCGTTCAATTCCCTATAAACTGCTCTTGAAAACTAATATTCTGGTTCAATTTAGATTCAATATTTTAGCAAAAGGTCAAGATTAGCTGTTATATTAAATATGGAATATAATATTAGTATGTTTTCTTCAGATAATCTTTCTTATTAGCTGATTCCTAACCTGAGGCTTTAGAGTTTGAGATTGCTTCCTAAACTTTTCTATTGCACCTTCCAAAATTAATCTTACTTTAAGAGTCAAAATTATTCTGGTACCTACTAGACTTGCACATCAAATCTGTAATAAAGTTGAAGAGTAATTGTTTATGTTCTCTGTATATTTTACAGTACATTGCAACTCCTTTTATTCATATAAAACCCATTATGCCTATTTTATAGTACTGGGAGCATTTTTTTTTTTTACTTTAAATTATTGTACAGGTTTATAGCTGTAGCTTTGCCTTTGTGATATACGGTTGGACAGGCATCCTATAAACATTTATTGAGCACTTATTTCTTCTAGGCACTATATTTGATGCTAGGAAAATACAAATGAAAAGAGTTAGATACAACCTTTGCATTTGAGAAGCTCATATTCTAATGAGGGCAACAGACAGGCAAATAAAGTTTTATTTTTAAAATTTATATGAACCCAACCATTTATGAACTTAGCCATTAATTAAATCATTATTTCAATAAAAAGAATATGATCTGTTTTTTAAAGAATTTCCCATGAGATACTGTTTCTGTGTATTGACTCTAAACGGGACCAAACAGGAGACCCTAGGTTTTTTCACTGCAAAGTCTCACAGTATATCCATTGCCCTCCCATGTCTATTGGCAATCATATTAACTGAAAGAGTGGTCCTCACCCTTGTGGGGGCAACAAAACCACCTGTGCATTTTTTAGAAAGGATGCTTGTCAGGGCATCTCCCCAAGATTCTGATTCAATGCAATGTGACCACAAGTTCAATTACATCCTTTCTCATTGTAGCCAGCAAGGTTCTCAGTCGAAACAAAAGAAACCAACTCTGGCTAACTTAAACAGAAAAGGAATTTATTGGAAGGATTTGGGGTAGCTCACAAAATTGAAAGCATGGTTGGAAAATACAATTTTGTGGAAAGAACAAGAAATTACTGTATCATGAATAGATACTATATCTAAACAGAAAAGCAAAAATATTTGCAAACAGGGAATTTGAGAGATTGATGAGAGAGATGAGAA